TCCCGCAGGCATCACAATATGGTGAGGGGCGTAACATTTGCGTCACACGCTTGAGGGATTCGGCCAATCACAACGCACTGGATAGCTGGCCAATCAGAGCACACCTCGCTTTTCAGACCGATGAGCTTTGTAAAAATCGTCGTGTTTCAGAAAGGGGCGGGCATAGAGGAGCAACAACAATGTACATTGTGTGGAAAATAATGTTTTTTTTTTTTTAACCTTAAACCGCATAAACACATTTCATTACACCAAATACACCAAATACTGTTATTTTTAGCAACATCATATGACCCCTTTAAGTTTATCTTCATTTAATCAAAAAATTCAAAAAAATTATAAAAAAATTTACCATGAGAACAAATTATTTAGCTCATAACATTCTGGTCTCACCTTCCAGTTCCCATTTCTGAGGGAGTTTTTTTAGTTCTTGCAGCCGGCTGACAGTGGATATAAATTGCTTATCCGGATACGCATGCATCTTTCACCTCACATACTGTAAATTACAGTGGTTTATATGATCTTTGCATAAAAAAAGATCCAGAACTGAGATCAAGATTGTCTGGTTTGTAGTGTTTGAGCTGGATATACGCACTTGTGTTTGTTTGTGTGTGTGTGTGTGTGTGTGTGTGTGTGTATTTAAGGCAATTGGGTGTTTCTCATGCACCTCTGGAACACATCTTGGCCTCTGAGGCAGGAAAGAGATGAATAATAAGTAATTTTTAAGTAGAAAGGCTGGTAAAAATGGAACATTACGACAGTTCCAGATATTTCCCACTGTCACTAGACCAAAACCAGAATCAACTCTCCACCTTAAACTGGAAATATGAGTGCAAATGGAAAGTTAAATGCAAATTGTCAGTTTGCTTCCATGTGTTTTTGCATATACAAGTTCTCTGGTCTATTATTTTTATTTGTATTTTTTTTTGCACCAAATCTGATTTGCATAAGTTTACATAATACATTTTGTGCAATGAATGGCGTTATCAGACTGCAATTAATTTTTAGTAGGGATGCACTGATATAAAAATCCTACCTGGTACTGATAAATCTATAATCTATAATCTATCATCTATAATCTATAAATCTATAAATCTATAATCTCTAAAACTAAAAGTGAGCATCACAACATTTTAATGTACAATATGAAAAAATGGATATTCATTTGGAGATTTGCTATTTATCTGACTCAAAGATTACATTTACAGTGTTATTAAATGTCTGTAAAGAATAACTAAGCGAGTGTTAGATGACAGCAAAGGTATGAAAGGTAAGAAATGCACATGCAGAATTAAATATCCAACACTTGCCAATATATATCCAATATTGACCAATTCAATAAATTAAAACTAATTTTGGCTAATTACCAATTTGGTACGAATATATTGAGCATCCCTAATTCTTAATCAATTCCCCTCTAAACATCAGTGTTGAATCAGTTATTTGCTGCTAATTTGTTTATAACAGCATGAAAAGTATTGACATTTCTGAATCAATTACCATGGTGTTATTTTGTTGAATTCACATTAAGACAGCCATGCACAAACAACATGAGGAAACTGTTAGCACTGGAGTTTGTTTGGAGAGGAATTTTTAATGGGTCATGTTGGGATTGATTATCAGTGATTGGTTGACACGCAGACACAGAGTCAATGCGGTGCGGTGACAGACAGATTATTGAAAGGCAAACAGAGGAAGTGCACTTATCTGCAATGCCCTGCTGTGGTTACATCGCTCAGTTTCTATGTCATGACAGAAACACATGTCTGCAGGTCAGGTGCTGATGCTGCTAAGTAACCATCCGCTGCACCTCTGCGGAGCACAACATCATTGATGAGTCATTTAATACTCTCTCTCACCGCAGAAATGACTCCGCCACACACTGGTGTTTATGTACGGATCAGATCACCTAGGAGCAAGCCAGCCATGGCAGAAGACCAGCGCTTAATATGTTCTGCACGCATTTACCATACTTTATTGCCTTATGATCAGATAGTTGCTAATTGGCTTCAGAACACAATTACAAACACAGACATGCACACATACACAGAAAAATACAAGTGTGGACATTTTTGTAATTGAAAATGTCATTAATTGTGTCTTCAGTGTCACATGATCCTGTAGAAATCATTCTAATATGCTGATTTGGTGCTCAAGGAACATTTATTATTATTGTTATTATCAATGTTGAAAATAGCTGTGCTGCTTAATATCTTTATGGAAACCATGATACACTAGCATTTAAACGTTTGGGGTAAGTAAGAAACACATTTTATTAAGCAAGGATGCAATTAAATTGATTAAAAGTGACAGTAAAAAATGTACAATGTTTCAAAAGTTTTCCATTTCAAATAGGCTAATAGTCAGAATATCACAATGATTTCTGAAAGATCATGCGGTACTGAAGACTGTAATGGCTGCTTAAATTGATTACATTTTACAATATATTCAAATAGAAAACAGTTACTTAAATTACAATAATGTTGCACAATATTACTGTTCATACTGTATTTTTGATCAAATAAATGCAGCCTTGGTGAACATAGAAAATGTCTTTCAAAAACCCTATATATAAAACAAATAAAAAAGTTAGATCTACTTGCGCAATTTAAGGCTAATAATGTTCTGAGCTGGTAATAAACGAACAGACATTAATGCATTCTTCTAGTGTTGATGTTGATAAGTGCCAGCGTGTGTTTTCTGAGTTGAAGTGTGTGACGACACTTGAGCGAGGGTTTTGTGTAAAGCGGAGACCAGAGGGTGTTTGCTCTGCAAGGTGAAACACTCTCTTGTTTTTCTTGTTGTTTTTAACTAGAATAACTAAACATATTAGCATATGAGTCTTTAGCCAAGCTTGCTACTACTCTCACGTGTTGTGGTCACATGACATGCATCTCACCTCGATGGATGGATTAGAAGCATTGTATAGTTGCCAAGTACCTGTACATGGCTTCTTAAGATGGCAGTTTCAAGTGATCTCACACTTATGTTCCCATTTATATAATTACTTTTATTTAAACATTTAAGCAAAAAGTCTGGTTTGCAACAACATTTACAGTATTTGCAATACAGCAATGGTTTTCGGATAATCTTTTACATGAGTTAATGAAATCTAACTGTTTAATGATTCAGGAAAAACAGATTCTCAAGTAGATTATTTACATTCTGGTGTCTGATACCTAAAACAACTTTACTAATAAAGCTATATTGAGTATCAGGGGACATGTACTTACAGTAGAACAGTTAATGTCATTACCAACAGAGCAAATTAAAAGCTAATTCCTAGATAACTGATTAGAAAGAAGGTCAATGCTTGACATAATTAAACATAAAATACATTTCTTATTTAAAATTATATTAATTTATTGAAAATATTTATGACAACTAAAATGTACTCAAAACTCGATGAGATATGACAACCTGCTGTTTCCCTATTGTGAACCTTTACAATGTAAAAAAAAAAAAATTACCTTAGCAAATGATTGAGCAAATAATGATATCATTTGCATATGACCTGATGTGGCTTGTTGAGCCTGAAGCTTTCCCAGAGAATACACACTACAAATGCATTACGCTAGGACAGGAGTGTATTTTAACACTGAAAAAGAACACACATCACCTTTAAAGGCACATCTAAAACTATTTTCCTGTCTTTTGTAGCTGTTAAACAGATGAAACAAAACAGATATTGTACTGTCTGTTTGTCGAATATATTTGGCTGTAGACTCTGCCTTCTTGTGATGTATGTAATAAAATACTGTCAAGTGCTCCTTTGCAAGTCACTTTGGATTCAACTTTATGTATATTCAGCAAATGAAACTGCAAAAAGTCAGCCTCGGGATGTTCTGTTGTGAAAACAGTTCAGGAGTGCTGCTGGCCAAGCAGTTTTATTTTAACATTGAGTGTGTGAGAGTGTGTGTGCTGTGAGGGGTTTACCCATAACACGACATTCTCTGACCTACAGTCCACACAGAGAATTTGAACCTGACCTTAGCATGTGAAGGTCCTCCTTAATAAAAAAAAATGAGAAGTATCTCATAGTCACTAAGGCTGCATTTATTTAGTAAAAAATACTGTAAAAACAGTAATATTGTGAAATAATATTACAATTACAGAAACAATAGCGACCGCTGCTGACTAGATGTGTGCATGTCTGGCAAAATGTGTTACAGTATATGTGCTAGTTTAATTTATACAACGATTATCCTTCTAAAATGGTAATAATGTGAAGGATTATTACAATTTAAAATAACAGTTTTCAATTTGAATATATTTTAAATTGTAATTTATTCCTGTGATGTCAAAGCTGAATTTTCAGCATCATTACTCCAGTCTTCTGTGTCACGTGATCCTTCAGAAATCCGTCTAATGTGCTGATTTGCAGCTCAAGAAACATTTATTATTCAGTGTTGTACTGGGTAATGAGAGTTAAAAATACAAAAATAAAACAAAGTATATATATAAAATAAATTAGTATTACAAAGTATTACTACAATTCTTATTTATTTAAATTATTATAAATAATATTTATAATTTTTAAAAAGTATTCAATGTCTACTACAGGGTACTGTAGGTTAGGAAACCAAATCCACACGAGCTAATTCCATGTAATGATTATTCAAATGCTCAAGTGTGTTGACTCAGACCCCCCAGGCTGTTCTTTATGGGATGAACTTATATAAGAATCATTTTCTGTCCATTGGTTACCTTAAAAAAGAATGTGGTTACCATAGAAATAGCTGCATTATGATGTGTTCGGTAGCCCAGGGTGGAATCTGCTCCTTGTGTTTTGGGAGACTGTTTATGTCATTGGCTTCTATTACTTACAATCCGCGTTTGTGTCTCTGCATGTCCTGAGGTGTTATATTTTATGACTTGTGTGTATCTTATATAATAACATTTAGGATGACAACAGAAAGTTATTAAAGTCGATGCGAACTGCTGTTCACAACAGATTTTGATCATTTTTAATGGGGAAAAATGTGGGGTGGGACTTGATTTTATCCATCAGGAAATGACTTAATTATAAAAAGTGGGTGTTACATTATAATGGAGCCAGACTTAATAGGAGTTTACTAAATCAATACCTATAGCCTTTTCTTTGGAATATCGTGCAGCAATGAATCGTTCACAAAACGACCAGGAACATTATTAAGAAAGACAATAGGTTCATTTTTGATTTCACAGTAATTTAAATTAAATTATAATTGAATTATTATGAATCATTTGCAATAAGAGCAGGAACACCATTAAGAAAGACAATAAGGTCAATTTTAATTTCATGTTGATTTTAATTCAATTATAATTGAATTATTTTGAATAATGAACCTAAGTTGTTGACTGAACATTTAACATTGTTTACGCTGTACCATAACTTGTTCCAATAATACGTACAATGTCTCTTTTCCACCTCAAACCCAGTTTAGTCAAAAAAACAGGATTTACTGATTTTTTTAAAGACATTTAGCAGATTATACCGATCTGGAATCATCTTTCCCTGTGCAGACGGACTAAGAGAAAGCACAGACACTGAACTCGGATCAGCAGAAAATGGAAAGCTCTCACCATGGCAGCGTTGCTAAGGAACATGAGCTGCTACTTAACCTCCATTTTCTGTCTGACAGCGGCAGCTCTTGTGTTTGCTAATGTATTCATTTCAGTGTACTCAGACTATGAGTGTTACACACAATGTCCATCTGCTAACCTGCCAACACACACACACACACACACACACACACACACACACACACACAACTGATTTTTTTAAAGACATTTAGCAGATTATACCGATCTGGAATCATCTTTCCCTGTGCAGACGGACTAAGAGAAAGCACAGACACTGAACTCGGATCAGCAGAAAATGGAAAGCTCTCACCATGGCAGCGTTGCTAAGGAACATGAGCTGCTACTTAACCTCCATTTTCTGTCTGACAGCTGCAGCTCTTGTGTTTGCTAATGTATTCATTTCAGTGTACTCAGACTATGAGTGTTACACACAATGTCCATCTGCTAACCTGCCAACACACACACACACACACACACACACACACACACACACATACAGACACATGTATGCAACTTACAAGGCTGAAAAGGCACCTGAGGCATATTAATGATTTTATAATACAATATTTTGTTATATGATGGTTTCACATAGGGCATTTACATGAGCCTGAGGTTGCCAGATATAGAAAAAAACATTGAGTCTTTATTCTCTTCTCTTGTGACGTGTAGCCTTATCTGCATTGCTCAGGAAACATGTCATTGCCCACTATCAGTTTCTACAAGGGACCACAATAGCTGAGAGCACATCAATGCTCCTCCAACTGTGCCATTACAGATCTGTGAGGGTGTGTTATCTTGTTAAAGGAGCCCCTTGCCAACTGGGTGAATGTTGGACATGAATGAATGCAGAGAGGATAGCCATACCCCTCATGGATGACATTGTCCCAACTGAACGCATTCCCAATCATTACTGTGCCTCTAACATGGATATTCACCTTCTCAAAACTCTGGCCACACCTGCATCTAGTCCAATAATGTTACTGTGCACATATGAGATGCACAACCCAGTGGTTAGTGTTAACAGTTGGACTTGGGTAGTCTTGCCCTAAACACAAAGTGAATAAAAAGACAAGATATAAGGTTATATGATTGATAAATAGTATGACATTAAGATCTTTCCTGTTGCATATGTGCACTGTAAAGTGTAAGGCCTAGATTAACCTGCCTGTGTTTCCTGCACCTCTATTCAGGAGGGGAGAGTAAATAATAATAATAATACTAATAATAAAGTTGTGAGCTTGTAAGTGAGAAAACGACTGGCTGTTACGAATTAATACATTGACAATCAATCAACCCAATTTTCCATTACATGATTACAAGCAAAGACAAATCTGCAGTGCAACATACTGTCTGATTCGTAAACAAATCACAATAATTAAATGCTCTATGAAAAAGCTGAAGCATTTTGAGCTTCAGTACTGAAATTGTGCAGTTCAGTGCGGCCTGTTGGGAAAAGTGAATCAGATTTATCTACAAAGCTAAAAATCACTTTGTCCAATAAAAATGCTGTACTCAAATGCTGCGTGAAATGGGGTCAGACAAATCTCACCATGCAAGGGCTGATGCTGTTTTATGCGGTTCATTGATTTGAAAGTAAAGGCCAGGCTTAGTCATACTGAGCTAAGGTTTTAAACAGGATTATAGCTGAGAGAAGAGTTATTTCCACAACATTATGTATTTTTATATTACTTCAAATTATTGTTTGTACTTGTTTTTTTATTGGCAGACCATGGTTTACAAACCAATGTCTTTCTTTCTCTCTCCTAGACTCTCTGGGTGGACCGTTCCCCTCAACAGCTCACCGATGCCACCACAAACCCAAACGCTGTTTACCCTTGCATCTGTGTGGAGGTGTCCCCGTGAACCCCCTTCTCTTCCACCCCAACGCTAAAGGCTCTCAGATAGTCATGGATCTAGCACAAAGGAGCGTCAAACGGCAGGCCAGCTTCTGCAATGCCATCACTTTCAGCAACCGGCCCATTGCTCTTTATGAGCAGGTCCGCTTAAAGGTAGGAACAAGGAAAGGCATGATAAATCTAGGGCGCGTTGAATATTTGGGAACAGTGGGATAATCTGGGGGGATGGTGAGTCTGGAATACTCAAGTGGATGAATCACACAGGCGGATGTCAATACTTCTGAGGGTCTGCTACAGCAATGACGACATTTATGTGACAAATGTCTTGTCATAGCCTAGCGTGTGCGTAAAAAAAACGAAGTACACTTTAGGCTTTAGGAAAATGTGTTTTCTCTTTCTCTATCCTTCTTAGTTTGTTCCTCTATTGTTACTGTACTTTAAAAACACCATCCTAAAGAAGTTGCGCAAGTTCTCACTTCCCAAGTCAATGCAGTAACAATCCAAAATAAACACTCTTACCCCAGACTATGGCACTCAATCTAGCCTAACCAGTTATTCGACCAACACACACAGATGGTTTTGTTTTTATGCTCACTCATTAGTCAAGTTTTAACCCTGATATTCTCAGTAGCGCAGAGCCACTCTGATATACGTCACTGTGTTCTTGAAATGTTTGTAGTGCTTATTCCTGGAGTTACTGTAAATCAAATAAAACAGAGCTTCTTTACTCCAAACACCACATGACTACCTCATATATCCCCTCAATTGTCCCCTAAGCGCAACCATTTATGATCATCACAAAATGTGCCCCCGTGTGGCCTTCAGCACTGCTACAAATGGAAATACAAGAGCAAACTTTGATAGAATTAAGTTGAAATTAATCACATGTAAAGGTTTTAAAGGAATGAACTGGAAACTTGTTTCAGCTCACAGGAAAGAAAAAACACAAAAGCAATGTAATTTAATAACCCCAAAACAGAAATGAGATTAAATAGAGTGTGGATGAAGAATTTTGTGTTTGGGAAACAGAAATTGTTTTTGGTGCTCCTAGTGGCACACTGCACCTTTAAAAAGTAGCATCTGCATAAAGTATTTCCCTTATGATATATACTGTATATATATTTTATAAATCAAAACTATAATTTCTAAACACTGTCAGAAAAATGTTGTAGTGGTACAACAGCTTGTCGCCTTAAATGGACAATTTTGTATCTTATCAACCCCAAAAGGTACATATTAGTAGCATATACGTAGTAAATACATACCCTTAAGGTACTATTTCAAGCCTTTAGGGGTAAATAAGATACAAAGATACCCCTTTGAGGGAACTAGTGACAAGTTGTTGTACCCCTAATGGTACAGATTTTTACACATTGGTTTCTGAGAGTAAACATTTCTATGCTATGCAGTGACTCATGATGAACACTTTCGTATGTTGTAATGATAGCAGATCCATTTTTCTGTCTTTAGATAACTAAAAAGCAATGCTGCTGGAGTGGTGCTCTCCGCCTGGGCTTTACTTCTAAGGACCCGTCTCGAATCAATCCCGACAGCCTGCCCAAATACGCCTGCCCTGACCTGGTATCCCAGAACGGCTTCTGGGCCAAGGCCCTGCCAGAAGAGTTTGCAAACGAAGGAAACCTAATTTCCTTCTGGGTGGATAAGAAAGGGAGAGTATTTTACCGCATAAACGATTCCAGCCCCATGCTGTTCTTCAGTGGCGTCCGGACCGCAGAGCCACTGTGGGCCCTCATTGATGTCTACGGTCTGACCAGAGGAGTGCAACTGCTGGGTGAGAAAAATAACTGTCCTCATACAGTAGTGTAAGCCAGTTCATGCCAGGTCTAAATGTTCTGCTCTAACAGACTGTAAAAGGAAAAATACTGAAGTAGTGTTTTTTTTAATGCTAGCTTGATTTTTAAATTGGAAAAACTCAGTGTGCAGCATAAATTGTCACATTTAATTCAATGATAATTTATATAAGATTAGTTTTACAGTTTACCAAGAGTTTTTCTAAAACATCGTTCGAAGAATGGTGAAAATGGTGACATCGAACTTAGTGTGCATTATTTTAGGTGCAAAAAAATTCTTTATGAATATTTTGCGCATGTTTTACATGAACAAAATGTTTCCTCCTAAATAGTTGCCATTTAAGGTTCTTTTATATGAAAACCTGTTAATTCACCATGCATGTGTGAGGCTGTTGCTTCTTCTAACTCACTGTTCTTGATAGAAAATCAATTTTAATTAATATTTATACATTTAAAAGTGCTTTTTCAATTTAGTTAAACACAAAATATACATTTTGAGATAATCAACTGGCTGCTCTTAAACTCCAACTTGAAAAAAAAAAAAAAAGAACTAGTGAGCTGGATTCTGGACTGGAGTCTGAGTTTTGAGCGATTCATTCAAACCAGTTTCATGAACTAAATCAATTTGTTAAAAAATTGGACATCATTACATCTCTGAACTAGGGTGCATTTCCTCCAGTTAGGTAATGTGCTAATGCTTATAAAGTTGTCTTGAAAACTTGTTAGAAATTAATTTTTACTGTTTATGTAAGTGTATGATCAAGAATAGCTCTTGCTCTAAACACACAGCAAATCAGAGAGCTTAAACTTGAAGGCAGTGGTCTAGATGTATTGCTGTATATAATCACAGTCAACATTGTCAAGAGCAGAGCATACCATACGCCACGCTTTGATGTACCGTTCTGTGTACAAGTGTTTGTGCATGGAAGGGGGGGTTTGGCAGTAATAGGCGAGCCATTCACATCTCACACGCATACATGCAGCAGGCTTTAATGCTGTCATCCCCCAGGGTTAATTATAGAACCAGGTCACATACACCAGAGATAGTTCCATTTATCCTAATTGAGCTCTGTGGCAATTGACGGCAGCCTCTCTGTCTGCTATCTGTCCACTGTGTGGGATGTGTTTCGTTACGTGTACGGGTAACTTTATCTGTACCTTTGCATCATGAAGTCAGCGTTGACATGCACTGCTGAACCTATGTTCTTCGACGGTCTACTGGCACGCTGAAACCAAAGAGTGTGTGTGTGTAAGACCTGTTTCACACCGCACACAAAGGCAGTATGTATTTATTTCGCCATCTATGGTAGCAGCATTCACACTGTGTACATAAGCAGTATAATGCTACGTAGCACATAGGTTTGAGTTTCGGCACTGAAAGTGCACTATAAATTTATCAGCACAATTTTTTGAAACAAAATATGAACAAACATTAAAAAGCAAACTAGTCATCCATCATCTGATACGCATGCGTGTGTATCCACTCTTTTCACCTCCCAGTGGTATGTCACATTTTCTCTTTCCAGAAGGGTTTGTAAGTGTGCATAGAGCCTGCAGAGAAAGATCAAAAGAGCTCTTCCTGTATTTCCATCAAACGTTGCTCCTGGAGTGCTGATGCCAGAACTGAAACAATCACATTTGAGTCTCAATTTCCTGCGGGCTGACATGAAATGCCTTTATTTACAGGACGCGGGAAGGAAGAACTTGTTAGTGACAGTACACAAAACCTGAGGAATCAAAAACTGACCCTATTTAGTATTTACTTTATTAATACACTTTCTTGCTCTTATGTGAACCGTTCACATTCATAGATTAATGATTGAATGAATACATTTAATGAATAAATACAGATTTAGGTTTTGTTTTAAGTTACTTTTGTCAGTAATGGTGCCTTCTAAATAATTATTTCATTCCAGTTGACGTTAATGTAATAAACAAATGAACAAATAATAAATTAACAAACAACAAAAAAAGCATTACCATTGGGTACATTGTGATGCTCTCAAGTGTGAACTTGACCTTCAGTTACCACGTCCCAGTTAAAAAGCTTTAAAAGTGGCTCCCAGCAGTGTTTCAAGAGGGGGGTAGGCCTACGCAATCAAATGCAAACGCAAAATCGGGTCTAGAACGCCCACTTTTCTCGATGGATGAAACTCCCAGTGGATAAAAGTCCTGACCTACATTTTTCTTGTTGAATATCAATTCTCACTCAGAAATGTCGCATTAGAGAAGAAAAACAAAGAAAGAAACGTTTTCCTGTTTTTCTCAATTCATGTGCTAAATAAATACAGCTTTGATTGGGGATGGAAAAACTGGTCTAAATTGGTAGAACCATTTGTAAACCATTTACAAAATGAGGTTTGAAGATGAATTTAAACGCTCTATGGTCCATTTGTACGGATGCCATAAATTCTTCCTTGTAATTTTAGCTGTTCTTATCTTGTGAAACTTTGTTTCGAGTGCCTCGAGCTTAAATACATGATGACATTTTCTCATGCACCTGTGAGTTTGAAACACACACACACACACACACACACGATAACACATTGTCCACAATAACAAATGCACACACCCACACTAACGGCACAGCTTTCACTAATGATTGAGATCATTTGAGGTACCTGCATAGCATGCCTATTATGCTGGTGTGTAAAAGAATGCATTGCTGAAACATACACTGGCCTGAAGTTGATACTACGGTTGCCAGACATGCATTTCAGGATAGTAGTTGACATTTAATTAATCCACCATAACCCATAAACAACCAAAAGCTTGTGACTTATAGCACTACAATTAATTTATGATTTATCATAGTCTTGAGAAATAGTTCAAATACAGTTAGTTTGGAGAGCACACAGACTGTAAAAATTATTTTAAAATAATTATTTACAACTTAATGATTATTTCAGTGCATTTTTACAAGGAAATGCTATTTTAGTCTTTCTATTTCAAAATTTACCATTTAATTCAATGTGAAATTTACTAGCAATTTTTGAGAAAATTATTATTATTATTATAATTTTTTCAGTGTAGGTGATTTTTAGTGTTTTAGTTAATTTGCTGTTATTTTTGTAAGAGTATTATTTACTGGCCTATTTACAAATCTAGACCAACATTGTGAATATTTTTTCAGTGTAGGTGATTTTTAGTGTTTTAGTTAATTTGCTGTTATTTTTGTAAGAGTGTTATTTACTGGCCTATTTACAAATCTAGACCAACATTGTGAAAGGTATTTTTTTTTTCTATGGTTAAAATACTTTCTGTCCCATATCCAAGCATCTCAACCAGCCCAACACTACAACATAAACTCAACCAGTGGTGTGCATTGGGGGTGGGTGGGGGGAGGGGGGTTGTGTAACCAACCAATGGCAGGGTGTTTAGGGAAAAATGTTTGAAAACATCTTTTTTGCAATTCCTTTTCTTTTTTTTTTGACACTAGTGGTACAGTGATACTCATTCCTTCCTTAGAGGCAACCACTCACACACTGTGATCTCCTGTCGGTCCAACTTCCCTTTCTCCTGTAATATCCGCTCTTCAACACTCTTTATCGCCCCTGCAGATAGGAGGTGATTCCACAACTGTCTTGCAGGCTTCTTTATAGTATGTGATTAGAGTCTGGCTGGACCTTGAACCTTGTTAGTGTGGTGTAGTTTTCAGGGTTCTAGAATGTATTGGTGAAATTAAAACGTCCCTTGAGGCATTTGGAAATGCATTGAGGCTGGAATGTTGTTTAATAAATAACCCAGCCCTCAGTAACCCTCTTCCGAAAAACACTGGCCAGGCTATAAGTGGCAAAAGCCGGTGGACCAACTTATTGGGAAGCACCAATTTACAAAAAATTAAAATAAAAATCATATAGTGGCACAATTTCCCTTCTTGTGAGCCAAAATTAGCACCCTTTTAATTCATGAGTTTGAGATTTAGCTGGCAAAAACAGTTGCTGACATCGTTTCCTTTCATCCATTTGACTCGTCTGTGTTATTCTGCAAAATGATCGCCATTAATTGTGGTATATAACCTCCAGCATGTGCAATGTGTGGATTTATTATACTATACTGCATGAACTTGAAATTCTGATGGATGATGGTGGGCTAGCACAAAGTATTGTTTGGCTTAGCAGAACATTACATAGATGTGACTAAAGTCAGAAGAGCCCACAGTGGAAGTCTGGTACTGAGTATATGTAATGAAGATTTTACAGACTACATAGTTTATACTGTATGTCAACCATCCTTATCTCATGATTCAAACAGATACACTTTATGGCTCATGTTGGGGGTGTCACAGAACATTTCATGCTTCTATTGTTTAACAAAGACTTTGTGCTTCCAGTGTCTAAGCAATCGAGTGAAAGAAAACACTCTCATTCTATATGCACATCCAGAGCAGCTCCTAATGGGATTTCAAATAACTTGTCAAACATCTGGACTTTGTAGCAAGAGCATAGCATCTGGTTTAACTAGCATTACATAGGCTAAACTGGACCCTTGTGGTCTAAAATGCAATTTGCCTACAAGAAAAGTTATCCACAATGTATCTAATTATACAACCTGTGGCCTGTTTCATAAAACAAGTTTACCAAATAAGCCAGGTTTATTTCAGTTAGCCTGACTTATTGACAATTGATTTGGTTCAAAATAAGTCAGACTAACTGAAATAAGCCTGGCTTGTTTGGTAAACTTGTTTTATGAAACAGCCCCCTGGTCTCATAAAAATACGTACCTCTGTGTACTTTGTGCAACACTGTTTTTACGTACCTTACTGCACGTTTCACCGCAGTTTCAAAGAGAAATGTCCACTGAGTGGCGCTAAAACACGGGTTCAATATGTGAACCCTGGCACGTTTTTATTACGTTGATATAGGTACGTATTGCTATGTTTTTATTATGTTGCTTCTGGTACGTATTGCGGCGGTTCGGAATTCAAATATCCGTGGACTGTCGCTAAAAGTTAATGCTCTATTGTGTTGGAAATATGCCC